AGCCAGGTCAAGTGGGTATTATCTGCAAGTGTGGGTGTTCTTATGCATATGCCCTCTCTTCTTATCAGCTGGTTGCTTCACTCGCCACTCTAGTCCTCTGTGGCTACATCACTGACTCTGGGCTCAAGAGTCCCCAGGTCTTGCCATACTTCTGGCCAACCAGGTCTCCATCCAAGTTCACAGGAGTCTATTGAACGTTGTAGGGCTTAGCTCACAGCTTCATTGCTGTTTTTCCCTCACTTCCCCTTATCCTTGACAAATGTGGTCACCAATCAGAGCATGTATTCCCATTGAGTCTTAGTCTTAGAAGGGGGCTTGCCCTGAGGGGACCCGACCACTTGGTTTGATGTCTTCTGGACGAGCAACTTGCCTGTTCTTGTAGTAATCAGTCGGACTGCCTATATTGTTTTGCACTTTTCCTGTCAGTCTTTCTTTCAAGAAGTATCTTTTGTTCTTCTAGCCGCTGCAGACTGGTCTGCTTGTCCTTTCAAGTGGAAATTTCCCACCTCAGAAGATTCTGGATGCAGTTCAGAATTCCACCTATGGTCTTATGTAATGCAGAGGCTCCACAGGAAGCCTCCTTCACCCCATAGAGTATTCTTGACTGTTATTTTTATGAAAGCAAATGGCCAGATTTTTCTTTTGCTATACCACCTGGCACAGTCAAACCGCCAGTTTTTCTGGTAGTTAAGCCCATCTCACTGCCATTGACTCAATTATGACATAACAATCCTGTGTAAGGCTTCTGAGACTCTTCATCTTAATGGGATTCGATGTCTCAGCTATTTCCAACGGAACAGCTGGTGGATTTGAACCTTTGACCTTGTGGTTAGCTGTCCAACACCTAACCCACAGTACAACTGATAATAATTGAGCACAAACTATTTATACCACACAGGAGCCTCAGACATAACTAAGCATCAAAAAACCACAGGACCAGGAAGGTGAGAGAGATGTGGTACATGCTTTAAGTGTAAAATTTAAAACCAAAACCACGTTCATCATGTCAGTTCAGTCACATAGAGACCTGGTAGGATACAGTAGAATTGGTCTGTAGGGTTTCTTAGACTACAAACCTTTACTGGAAAAATCAGCCTGATCTTTCTTCTGGTAAAATTTAAGGGGATGCCAAAAATTTTAAATGTCAAAATGCCAAAAAATAGAAGATAAGTACTATCTTATAACAACATTTTTAAAAAAAACAAAATTTATGCAAAATTATAAGATAATATCAAAATTTTAAATAAATAGAAACCATTTTGAGCAACCTGAGGCAAAGGATAAAACATGAATTCTTATATTCATGTTTTTTTGTGTGTGGTGTTGTTGTTTTGGTGTTTTGAGTCTTGGTGAGGGTGCTGTATAATAAGCACTGGATTATTAACCACAAGGTTGGTGGTTCAAACTCACCAGCTGTTCCTTGGAAACCCTATGCAGGGTCACTGTGAGTCAGAACCACCTCAACAGCACTTAACCACAACAACATATTCATGTTTTTAGATACTTATAATGGTTCATTTTTTCCAGACCCATTAAAGTACCTGAAAAAGTAGATGTATTCAGACTCATTCTGTTGGTGGTAGTGAGAGCAGTCAAGCCCGTTACAACTCATAGCGACTCTGTATAGGGTTTCCAAGACTGTAAGTCTTTGTGGAAGCTGAAAGACTCGTCTTTCTCCCGTAGAGCAGCTGGTGAACTCCAATTACCTACTGCAATTCAGTGCTTCTCCTACAGAATCTTCATTCTCCCCAAACTCATATCACTTCAGTTGAAATATTTTATTCAAACCTGAAAGAGAATTTATTATAAATCTATAACCTTGGTTTAATGAAATAAAACTCATCAACAATACTTTAAAAAAACAAACTTTTCTAATAAGCCATTTAAAAAAGTATATAAGAACACATGTGCATTTTTTTCTTTTGCTGCCTCAGGCTTTGCACAGAACTGGAAAACAAACCAATGTGGTCAGTTCTACCTGCTCTGCACAGTGCATTGAACAACTTGGACTCTGACACAGAACTTTTGCTAAGGCATTTATTCAATTGGATAAAACAACATTTTCAGAGTTTTCCTTTTGTATTTTAAATGATTTCCAGAATTGCCTATTGCTTACTTTGACTTTGTGTTGGATCAATATATTAACAAGATTAAAGCGATAAAAAAAATAAGCCATGAGACTTAGAATGCATTCCATCCTATGGCATCCCTTTAAATTGTTCTCTAAAAGATTTCAAGTCTATTATGAGCCAACTTACCAAGAATCTAGGGCAGAAATGACAATGAGGATGAATTATATCTTTATCTGTTTAAAATTGGAAATAGCTTATCTGTTATTTTCAACTTTGGTGTTTGTTTTTCTTTTAAATTACTTTTAGTCCCTGTTTAAGAAGTGTGCAGTATTTCTAAAACTGAAAGTGAAAATGTCACAAACGTGCTTGTAATATATAGTTAAGTGATAAATTGAAATACAGACAGAATTGTGTCCACTTTTGGTTGAGAATCGAGTGCAAAAGTTAACAACTTGCACCCTGATTTCATACCATGGACGTGCAAACAAACACGCAAAATATACATTCCATTATGAATCAGAGTTACATCATAGACACAGTGTGCTTAGTATTTAGAGATGGAAGTGTGAGAAATGTCACATCTGTAGTTTCCTTGAAAAAATATAAAATAATCTTAATGTTCATTTGGAGTCCTATTGTGGCACTGTGGGTTAGTGCGTCAGACTGCAAGATCGGTGGTTCAAGCTCACCAGCTGCTCCTTGAAAACCCTATACAGGGTCGCTATAAGTCGGGACCAACTTGACGGCACTTAACAACAACAACAACAACAACATTGTTCATTTGCTGCCAGAGCTCTTTGTCACTTATTCAATTCGGGTTTAATGGGAGATGTAGGCAGATAGCTTCTGAAGACATACAATGTGAAAGATACTAGCTAAATTGTGGGGATAGCAAATTACAAAAAATACTTAGTTCTATAAAAAGTGTCACTGGTAATTGAGCAAGGAGGGCAGTATGCCAGGAACACTATGTTCAAATCTTCTAGAAGTAAATCACTACTTAGTGGTAGATTCCATTTCTTGTTGTTGTTGTTAAGTGCCGTCGAGTCAATTCCAACCCATAGTGACCCTGTATAGGGTTTCCAAGGAGCAGCTGGTGAGCTTGAACCACCAACCCTGCAGTTAGGGGGACCTAAATGGCATAGTCCAGGGGCAATGATTGAGTGATATTTTGAATCTCAAGAGTGATGGTGACACATGAAAAGTGAAGGAACTGCTTTTCAAGCAAATGGAAATCCAGGTGTTACTATGCGGAGGCAAGGAGGCAGTCCATTGGGTTCTTAGAACAGAATGTAGTGTTGAGCTTCTAAAAGATGTGTGGTTGAGAGAGGAAGCAACAGCAACGGAAGTTATAGCAAGGAGGGGCACACATCCTTTTTCACCAGGCAAGCATCTTGTGGGAACACAGGGTCAAAAGAAGCTCAAAGGACAACTGCCATTCTTTGGAAATACCTGGGAAGAGGAGCCAGCAGACTATGGGCAGGCAAGTGAGAGGGGCAGTAGGAGTCAAGGAAACTGAAGAGGGACATTTAAAAAGTCAGGTTCACATTAAGTGAGGGGAGATGTGCCCCATCACGTAGCCACCAAGCCTGGTACTTGGAGGGAAAAAAAGGCAAGTGTATTGTTGTCCTATCAATTTTCACTCAGGACAACCTCATGTGTTACAAAGTAGAATTGCTCTGTAGGGTTTTCTTGGCTGAATTTGTGTGGAAGCAGATAGATGGCTGCTTGGCAGGTTAGAAATGCCAACCTTCAGGTTAGTAGTTAAGTGCAAACTGTTGGCTTAACTCATTGCACTTGGTTCTTGGTAAGTGGAGGGAGGCTTCTTAGGAAGCATTAATATGAAAAGTTATTTAAGCTGTCAGTTCTAAATGATTGTCTCTTGAAACCTAGTATTAACTAAAGCTTCCTCTCAAAATATTTGCCTTTCCACAGCCTTGAACAAACCACTGAGATCTTATTGTGTCTGTCACGTGCAGAAGTTGACAATCTCAAGGAAGGGGTCAATTTTTTGCAAAATAAGAGCACTGGCAAAAGCTACATCTTATACAAGAATAAAAGTCATCTGAAGGCTTGCAAAAATCTGTGCAAACATCAAGGAGGCCTGTTCATCAAGGATATCGAAGACTTAGATGGAAGGTATCAAGAGTCCTTTACTTTCTCACCTCTTGCACTCAATTTGGCTGGGAATATGCTCATTGAGAAATTTTTAATGATACCGATGTTCTTTCCCTAATAAATTCCAAACCTTTACTCTTACTCATTAGGACATTTCTATGACCTCAAAATTTCATAACCTTTGCTTAATTTCCCTTTCTCATGAGAATTATTATATAACATTTATTCTAAGCTTACTAAATAGGGAAGCTTCTAGGGTACACATGTGAAAGAGTATACATTTATGTGTGCATGGGGAGGGCAGGCATTTTTCTGGTTTTGTAATCCTTTCCCCCTTAACCAGAGTGTGTGGTAGGGAGGAATAGGGTGCTGGGGAAGCACTTTACCAAACCCTTAGTATTTTCCTGGTATGCTAGTTACTATCTGTAATGAGAAAAAAAAAAAAAAATCAGAACAAAAATGACAAAACCCCAATGGTCAGAAGTAACTCTTCCTATCATTTCTTAAAAGAGCTAGTACTGTGACTTCCCCACTTGTCATTGGATAACACCTGCATAATGATCAGCTCCACTAGTGTTGGTAAGCAAGGAAGTAATACCAGAACATGATTGTACTGGTTTTTGTATTAACACTTAGGACAGAGCAGTGTTGCCTGTTAGAGTCAGGGAGAGTTCTTGAGTTAATGCTTGGTGTTCTGATTCTTAACACCAGCAACATGTGAGTGGTTGGCTGAACTTTTGAGACTCACTTCCGGCTGCCTTGACCTATGTAGAATCAGTCACTCAAGTGTTGTGTTTTCTTTTTCCACTTTGGTGTCAGTCTTGTTCCTGTGGTTATTTGTCGGCAGTTTAGTGCTATTGTACTTAGAAGGAGCTAGATAGTTGGCCAAGAGTTCCCTGCTTTAATCATATAGAAGTCAGTCCCCAGAGTCTAGTATGTTCTCACACCTGCACTCAGATTTGCTTCACTGAATATGTAGTTTCTGGGCTCAGTGGCACATATTATTAGATCTTTAATGTTGACCACTGTTACACCTGTAGCTTGCTTGATTCCTCAGAGCTGCGAGATGTAGAAAATCTAAATGCAGGGTGCTCAGTAACATTTTAATTTCAAATAAATAATTAATATATGTTGTTGTTGTTAAGTGCTGTCGAGTTGTTTCCAACCCATAGTGACCCTGTATAGGGTTTCCAAGGAGTAGCTGATGAGCTTGAACTGCCGACCTTTTGGTTCAAAATGACTTTGCAGCCAAGCACGTTAACCCACAGTGCTACACCAAGACTCTCTAATTAATATACAGGTATAATATAAAAGTGTCCCAAGTAGGACATACTTTAGCTAGCAACTCTACTCTAAGAGAACATCTAAGTAATTTGCTGCTAGTCCTGTTTTGATTTCCTTCCATTGTCTCAGTGAATTTAAGTCAGGGAAACCTCAAACATAATCCTTCACTGGTCAACTTCTGCCACCACTGGAAGATATAGGGGTTTTCTCCTTTAAGTATTGCAGTTTGAAACTCTGTTTTTCTTTTCTTTGATCTCCAGTCTACATCTCCTAGGTGGGCTGTTTCATCCAGTGCCCACATAGTCAGTCATTTAAGGGAGGTTAATGGTTAGATTTTGATCTCTTGTCGTCGACTGCCTGATTTAGAAGCTTGACACTACCGCTTACCAGCTCAGTAACCCTGAGCACATTTGTTAACCATTCTGAACTTCGATCTTCTCGTCTATAAAATGAGGATGATACTATTACCTACTTAGTAAGGTTGTGAGTAATTCCAAATGCATGAAGCACTTAAAAATAACTTGTTTGATGAGCACTCAATAAAATATTCATTACTGTTACTATTGGGCCAGGAAATTCTTGTACAGGTAGCATTTTAAATGGAACTCAGATTTTTCTAGAATTTAGTTCAGTCATCTACAAATAATGAAAACTGTATCACATGCTGACCTCGCTCTTCTGAATCCAAAGCCTTGGCAGTGATTGATCCAGGTTTCACCCTATTTTGATGCCAGGCTAACCTCAGAGAGTACTCACTTAGCTTTCCTGCACATGAGATACCAGGTTCCCCGAGTTTTAGTTCCAGATGCAACTCAGCAAGAATTTATATGCTGAAACTGCATCCACAGAACGTATATCCTATCCTTCCCTCTGTCTCTCCAGATTTGGTTGATCTATATGGTTCTCTGTGTAGCAATTTATTTGAACAATCTCTTTGTATAGGATACAATCAAAAACAAAATCCTGCCTGTTATGCCCAACCTACTTCTTGGCACAATAACCAAGATCAGCAAGTCTCAGAGGCTGTGGTTCTCATTTTGTATGTTTTAATGATTTATTTTTAAATAACCTCTCCTGCTTGTGAAACTCTTAACCACAATTTCCTCTTTCATAGCACAGAATACTGAAAGCCTAGTGTAAATTTAAATATGGAATATGAATTTGGCTTTATATTTAGAAAACAACATTTAAAAGTAAATCTGGATATAATGAAGCTTGGGAATATTACCATGATTTATTTATATGTTAATGTAGACATTTTAGATTTTGTTTTGTTTTTAAAGTCATGTTTCTGATATGAGACATATTTCTCCATATATCTTTTATTATTATTATTATTATTATTATTATTTAAAGTTTTAAATTGTGAATTGGGTGATAGTTTATATGGGAGAACATCAGCTTTACATCTTTATATTCATCCTGTCATATTTCATTTCATTGCAATGATTACAATCCCCTTCATGCATCATCATTCAACGGCATTGGCTTCTATTCCCTCTTTTTTGTTTGTTTGTTTTTGGATGTACACTGAAGCACTCAGGAATATATAATCATTTAAACAACAAAAGGGCACACCCTGCAAGCCCACCCCTCCTGCCATCAGCCCACAGGCCCTCTCCTTCCCTGAGTCCGGGGTCCCCAGCTGCTCCATCTCTCCATGTCATCGTCTGTGCCTCCATCTCTGGTGTCACTGCTTCTCTGGATAGGGTCCCGAACTCTGCTCTTCTCCCTTGATGGTCCCAGGGTCCTCCCCTCCTAGACTTCAAGATCAAACACTCCTCTCCTTTTGTTACAAAAGTCTACCTTTACATTTGCAACACTGACAATCAGTCCTGATTGCAATTATTCACTATTGAACCACAAGAGTCTTATCCCCATCTCCTTTCACCAGCCCCTTCCAGACAGGTTGGAAACAATTCAGTGGTGATCCTACCTTCCCCCATACCCTCTGAAACTAGGCTCCCTTTTGAAAGCTTGTAAACCAGTCACTTCGTGCCTTTTTAGTCCCCCCATTTTGGGTAGTCAATGTCTAAGTTGCCCATCCCTGTCAACCCTGTGCACAGAGGGGGTGGGATCCATATAGCTTTACAAGAATGTATTTTTAACTCTTGAAAAAGACCTTACCAAAAACTCTACCAAAACAAAGAGAAGAAATGAAAACTTTTATTCTCCTCAGCTGTCACATACCCTATTTCCCTCAAAGTCCTGGTAAGAAATGGAAAAGCCCTATGTTTTGTTAAAATCTGATTCTCACTCTGTAATAGAGTTGCCAGATTTAACATATAAAATAAAGGACACTTAGTTAAATTTGAATTATAGATAAACAACAAATATTTTTTCATTGTAAGTATGCCACAAATATAGTACGAATATAGAGTACATTTATATTGAAAATTAAAGTTTATCTGAAATTCAAATTTATCAGGGTATCTTATATTTTATCTGGCAATCCTGCTATGCAATTTCAAACTCTAAGAGAACCTTTTTCCTACGAAAAATGAAAACTTCAATCTAACACTATACTAGAAGTCAAGGGTTATAGAAATATTAGAAATCATAGATGTGTATTCTTGATTACATTCTTCCCTTGTAATGGTCCCAACTGGATCTCAGCTAGCTTAGCCTTTGTAAGAAAGCCATTCCTCAAGACCATTTTATTTTGTTGATTAAAGTGACACTCCACTTTGTGATATGGAGTTTATTTTCATTTTTAAAATCAACTCCTAAATAGGTTAATGTGCTGGACTGCAAGGTCGGTTTGAACTGCAAGGTTGGCAGTTCAAACTCACCAACTGCTCCTTGGAAACCCTTTGTAGGGTTGCTAGAGTCAGAACTGGCTTGACGGCACTTAACAGCAATGAATGATTAATATAATTTTTGTCTTGGATGTTTGTGTGTTGACTGTTAATAGTTTTCCTTTCACGTATTTGATTCATCCAACCAATTTAATTTTAACACAAAATAGCATATTTAAGCCTAATCAAGATTGGAGTCCTGGTGTGGCACTGTAGGTTAATGCACTAGATCACAAGATTGGTTTGAATCATAAGGTCAGCAGTTCAAACTAACCACCCACTCCTCGGAAATCCTATACAGGGTCACTACAGTTTGGAACTGACTCGATAGTACTTAACAACAATAACAATGAAGAGTAATTTTAATTTTCACAATTTGATAAACTAAAGTATGGTTTTTCATCCAGGTCTGTTAGATGCACAAAGCACAACTGGAAGTTAGATATGAGCACCATGAAATATATCAACCCTCCAGGAAGCTTCTGCCAAGATGAGCTGGGTTAGTACCATTAATATGGATAAGTACATTCTCTTGTTATTGTCATCAGGGCCATGTTTTGTCAATTTGCTTTCAATCTCACTTGATGCTTTGGGAACATTTTGATTTTAAACTGTGGGTACAAGATTTATTCATATTATTATTGATAGTATAGAAAATTTAAACAAAGTATTTCCTCCAATAATCTCTTCATTCATTCATTTCCTCGGCAATTATTTGTTGAGTTTTACCATGTGTAAGCATAGCGTTGGTATTACTAGATACAAAGATGGGTATGACAGTCCTTAACATAAATGAGATTATGTTAACATGGAGTGGTGGCTGAGACAAGTCTGCATATAACTAAGATTAAGAATGCTATGATAGGTTTCTTTTTCTGTTAACTTCTTATTGTGACTTGAGTGAAAGCTTACAGTGTAAATTAGTTTTCCATTCAACAGTTCATACATATTTCATTTCGTGACATTCATTGCAATCCTCACAGTGTAACTGCACTCTTTCCACTTCTTCCTTGTAGTTTACCATTTCCATTTGTCCTTCTTTCCTTTCTTCAGAGGTTTATCCCCGGGCATATGCTGCCCTTTTGAGCTCATGTGGTTGATTGTTTTAAGCAGTGTTTGTGGCGCTGCAGGATTAGACACTGAACTGCAAAGTCAGTGTTCAAATCTACCAGTCACTCCTTGGAAACCCTATATAGGGTTGCTATGAGTAGGAACTGACTCGACAACACGGAAAAACAACAACAACATCATCTCACTATTAGCTATTAGCTAATAGACTTGTCTATTGTTGGTTATAGCTGAGCCACTGGAGTGAGTTCAGTTCTAGGCCTGAAGGCAGGCTATGGGCCATAGTCTTGGGGGTTCCAGCAGTCATTATCAAACTTGTAAGGCTGTTTTGTTTTGTTTATAATTTTGAGTTTTGTTTCACATTTTCCTCCCATTCTGTGCAGGATCTTCGATTGTGATCCCTTTCAGAGCATCTAGTAGTGATCGCCAGGCACCATCTAGTTCTCCTGGTCTCAGAACCATCTACTTTTCAATGTGGTGGAGGTTGAGGTTCAAGTGGTTCATTAATCATTTGGATTAATTGTTTCCATGTGCCTTTGATTTTATTTACTTTTTCTTTGCTCCAGAGAGACTAAACTGTACATTAGACAGCTGCTCAAAAGTTTTTTGAGGCACCACTCACCAAAGTAGGATGCAGAACATTGCTTTGTTAAGCCAATTGAACTTGATGTCCCCTGTGACTATTGTCCTGAGCCCTCAGGTCCAGTGACTCATGCCCGCCAGGTGTTAGATTATGGCTAAGATATTTTCATTACTTTTCTCGCTGTTGCTGTACTATACAAGTGGATATACTTATAGCACATACAAATAGCCTCTGTCGAACATAAATGGTCATGGGTATAGTCTCATTCAACTACCCATAGTGGTCATCTTGACTCTGCCTACGTATTTATGTATCTGCCTAACAACACTGTAGATGAATGTTGTTATTACTGGATTGTGTATGTATAGTATTTATCTTCATTATCCATAACTCTTGTGCTTCTCTCCGCATCTTCCTTTTCCTTAGTGATATTGTACTGACTGACCCCTTATTGCATACTGCCTTACCCTTTTGGTGTGGTGCTGTAGGATCAGCACTGGACTTCAAACCACAAGATTGGCAGTTCAAACCCACCGGTTGCTCCTTGGAAACTCTACATAAGGTCACTATGAGTTGGAACTGATTTGAAAGCCCTTAGTAGCTTATCTAGTTAGGAATCCTGGTATGGTGCTGTAGGATAAACACTGGACTGCAAGGTTGGTTTGAACCTCAAGGTCGGATGTTCAAATTCACCATCTGCTCCTTGGAAACCCTATAAAGAATCACTATAAGTCAGAACTGACTCTAGGGCACTTTATAACAACAATAACAATTATCTAGTTAGTGATTTTTCCTCCTATCTTTGATAATCATTTAAAAATGTTTATTTCTGTGTGTAAATCTTACCTTAGCTTTTCATAATAGTGAAAATATTTTCATATAATATTTGCCCTTTTGTAATTGACTAATTTCACTCAGCATAATGTCTTCCAGGAGTCCTGGTGTGGTGTCCAGGTTCATTCACTTTATGAGGTTTTATAGATTCTTCGTTATTTTTTAATGTTGCATAGTATTTCATTGTGTGTTTGTTTATCCATGCATTTATGGATGCTCATTAATGTTGTATCTGTCTTTTTGCTATTATGAATAATGCTACAGTGAATATGTTCTTGCTAAGTGCCATTGAGTCAGATGACCCTGTATAGAGTTTGATCAGCTGGTGGGTTTGAATTGCAGAGCCTTGCAGTTAGCAGTCCAGTGCTTATGCTACAGTGCCACACAATTAATATGGGTTTGCATAAATCTATTCATGTCTCAGTTCTTATTTCTTTGGGATATGTGAGGGTACATAAAAAAAAATATTGTTAGTAGGGTTCCAGTTCACACACATACTGGTTTATCTAAACAAAGCATACTTAACCATGTCTCTGTGATCAATAGATGATTGTAGAGAGGTTCTTTCAGTGTTACACTTAGTCTCAATGGGATTGGCATATTATCAGGAGGGACCAGTACTGGAGGAGGACTTCATGTTTGGTAAAGTAGAGGGTCAGCGAAAAAGAGAAAGATTCCCAAGGAGATGTATTGGCACAGTGGCAGCAGCAATGCACTCAACCATAACAATGATCATGAGGATGGTGCAGGGCCAGGCAGTGTTTTGTTCTCTTGTACATAGGTGTCACTGTGGGTTGGAACCAACTCGATGCTACCTAACTACAACAACAAATATATTTATATATATATGAAAGGCCCTCAAAAGTTCATGGAAAAATTCCATTATCTTTTTTTTTTTTTTTTTTATTGTGAATTGAGTAGTTACAAGACAGATCATCAGTTTTACATTAAAAATAATCACACACTTCATTTCATCTCTACTATTGCAGTACCCT